TTTTGTCAGATCTTTGAGTTTCTGCACTTTTTCCAGTCAACACATATTAAGCAGCAAATTTTGTATCACTTGAATGACTAATTGCACACAAATGGTGCTTTCAATGACAGTGGCCATAGCTTTCTAGAGTTTTGACAATTATGATGTGAGGTTTTATTTTTTCTTTAACACAGGGTTATGCAGCAGGCGATAGAGTGTCCACCGATATCAGGCAAAAAGACTTGCTTCAGTTTTCTTTCAGGAATTCACAGTTACTGCTTTGGTACTGAGATGAACTTTCAGCGACATTGTGTGACAAAAAGAGAATAAAAAATGCAATTCATGATAACACCAGTTAAACTTCTTATTAGTAGTATTATTCATTAGTTTCAAACGATGCTAATAATTATATGTATGTAAAAGTGGAAATCATCTCGCCACTTTTTACCCAGCTATACTGTAAAGCGTCAAATGAAAGGCCTGGGTGTGTTCTGGATTTTTCTTATGAGCTTCGCAACAATTGTTATTACAGTTGAACATTCCTGTTCATGGAAGCCATCACAACTTGTTTTTGTCCCTCTACATCCACTTCAGCTGCGGCGAATCTTGAAAATATCCTTTGGACTGGCATAAACGCCGAGGGTCCTCCTGGATAGAATTTTTTTTTAGACGCTGATTGGGTTGCCATATAGAGTAGTCAGGATTCCTCATTCGAGCGAGCGAGTGCACGTGGTTTGTCTTGACCCAAAAGGTCAACTTAATGTCACTTGAAATTATTAATTTTCAAGACACACAAAGATGTTTTGTTAAGCTTTAATTAAGTATCCGAAAAGACTCTGAAATACAAGCGTTCTTTCTGCGTTACTTTTACGAATGTTTAAGTTCAAATTAAAGATGAGGAAAGATCTAAGATCATTTAAATTTGCTTTAATTTGAAATTAAAGGTGCTACATTTTAATAGCTTATTTTGGAATAAATTAAAGAGAGTTAAAACGGGACCTAAAGGTTATTAGTGTTTAATGTAACCAAAAGGTCAATTAACAGTAAACTAAAGGGACAGAAAACCTTTCGGAAATTTAATGTCACAATTAAAGGTAATTAAAGATGGAACAGAACTTTTGGTGAGCTTTAATTTTTCACTAAAGACACCAAAATGAAAGCGTTCTTCCTGTGTCACAAGGCAGATAATTTTAGAAAACAATGTACTTGAACAAGTAGACAATACTAACTTTCCCGTAGTTTTTATTAATCAGCACGTTGAGTGGAAAACTCATGTAAATTTTACAACCTACAACGAATTTACCCAGTACAGAAAAGAGCAGTCCGGGCGATCTCTAGAGCTGACTACAAGGCTTCAAGTAAACCTCTTTTTGCAAATTTGAAAATTCTTGATGTTTTTAGTATCTACTCTCTCCAAGTAAGTTCTTTCATTTACCTATATCATAATGATGCTTTACCTATTTCTTTTACTCAAATCTTTCAAACTGGAAACCAGGTTCATCAATATTCAACAAGATACTCTGACTTTCACCGACCTCATACCTGTAGAACAAATATTAAAAAAATTTCGATCCCGTTTCAAAGTCCTAGAATATGGAATTCATTACCGAACGACATCAAAAATGCGCCGTCTTTTAGTATATTCAAGCGTGTGATCAAACCATTTTTAAGGGTCAGACAGAATGCAACCTAAAACCTTAACACCTTATATCAATATTTTCCTCTAGACACACTTGTATACTTAAAGAAACGACTTTTTTCTTTATTTCTTAAATTCCGCCTAGTATTTCAATTGCCCGTGGGGGAAATCTCTATTCCTCATAAGCTCGGCTTCTCGTAGATTTTAGCCACAGTCACTCCTCCCAAGTAATGTACAAATTTTAAATTTAATGTTCATTAACCTATTTATTATCGTTTTTATTCTGCTTGTTATCCATTGTGTGTGGCAAAATAATAAATAAATAAATCTCATCGAGGATCTGAAAATACCTGACGATTATTGGATGACACTCCAGACTGGAAGCCGTGAACACCGTAAAGAAGGTTTGATAGGAGAAACGTGGAAAGTTCCAGTGGGACATTTTACACAAAGGGCTCTTTATACTCAATCCGTTTTAGCCCAACTTTCCAATGTGTTAAACAGCGGACAGTTTATTACCAACGATATTGGATTTTCTGCATCGATTCTATTCAGCCGACAGGAGAGGAAAGGGGGTAAAAGAGCAGGTGGAGGTCCGGGTCAAAAAATATGGGAACACATGGCGAAACATTCACGATGTGTGTGCGAAATCAAAAATAAGGATGAATTATGTTGCGCTCGAGCCATTGTGACGATGCGAGAGTACACGAAGCGCCAGGCGGGCGAACACAACACCTTTGAAAATATCAAGAAAGATCGGGGGAAGAATTCGCAGCAGTTGAAAGAGGCGAAGAGGTTACACGAAGAAGCAGGTGTCGGTGAGGGTCCATGTGGATTGGAAGAGATTCAAAAATTCCAAGACTGCCTTGGCCCTCAAGCGTTCCGAATCATTGTAGTAGATGCTGTACGCGGTAAAGTGATTTTTAAAGGCAAAGCATTTTTAGAAGCAGACAAGACAATTGCTGTGGTGAAATCTGAGTACGTGGATGAAGAGAACGTGGAAAAAGCACACTATGATGGCTTATACAGTATCCCACGTTTCATGAACCGAAGTTATTTCTGCCATCGTTGCTGTAAAGGCTACAACACTGAGGACAGCGCCCATCATAATTGTCAAGCTAAAAACTGCCCTGCATGCAAAAAAAGTTCTTCGAAGAGTGAACAAGGATGTCCCGATTTTTCCTTATGGTCGAAACCAGACCGCAATTGTAAAGTGTGTAGACGTGAGTTTTATGGGGCAGTGTTTTATGGCCCACTTGGTTGAGGAAGAGGTAGTGGGCAAAGATTTGGACAAAATGAAACAGAAATTGGAGCAAGACCTAGAGGAGAAACTACCGTCCACTGTGAAGAGCGTATGTGATCAGTACCGTAAATATAAAGATTGCCTGGTGTCCTATAAAGTGAAAAAAGATGTCCCCCACAAATGCCTGCATGCCAAATGTAAACATTGCTTGGAATTTATTCATATATATGACCACCAATGTTTTATCACGTCCGAGGAAGAGAAACAATTTAAAAGGACGCTTCAGGGGTTACGAAGGCAGAAAAAGAAAAAGGAACAGTTATTGGGGATGATGGTTGAAGGTCTACCAGACGATGACACACAAAAGGCGATAAATGATCTGATTGCTAAACGTCAAAAGAAACTTAAACAGTTGGATCAGATCAACAGTGGTGTGCCCATGACTGAAATAAAGGCACAGCATTACGAAGAAATGCTGAATGATTTACGTGAAAAAGTGATGTTAAAAATGATGGAGGAAGAAGGTTTTGAGCTTGACGATATCACTTTAGAGTTCGTGGAAGACCGTATGGCCAAACAACAAGACAAACCACAGCAAACAAGTGGATCAAAGAAGATTTTTGCAGGGGGACTTGTGTGTGCAGATATTGAGTGTATCCTCGACAGCGCTAGTACATTCATCCCAATTCTGATCTCTTATTCACGTGGGTATAGCAAGACGATTTTTCATCATTGGGGAACCAATTGTGTGGATCTCTTCATTCAAACGTTGTTGCAATGGGTTGAAGAGGAGAAGGCAAAAGAGGGGGGTGGTCAGGAATTTCATATTTTCTTCCATAACCTAAAGGGGTTTGACGGGGTGTTTATCATGAACTCATTGTACAAGTTGAACTTGAAAGTGACAGACATCATGGGCACAGGAACAAAGAAGAAGAACAAAGATGCTGCATTTTAAGCACAAGTCGGTTACTTTTAAGGATTTCCTAGCTGTCATTTCTGAACATACCCCTGGCGAATTTCACCAAGACGTTTGGACTGGTTGAGTTAAAGAAGGGTTGGTTTCCCCATAAGTTTTCCAAGTTGGAAAATTTGCAGTATGAAGGAAAGATTCCAGACCTGAAGTATTTTGAAACCCAGCACATGAATGGGAACAAGAGAGAAGACTGTGAAAAGTGGCATGCTGAACAAGTTCCCAAAGGAGGAGTTTGGAACTTCCAATCAGAAATGTTAGAATATTGCAAAAGCGACGTTAAACTTATGAAAGAGGGGTGCCTCAAGTTCGCTGAAGACACCCAACGAAATGCGGGGGTTCAATCCTTTCAAACAGTGCATCACCATGGCATCAATGACTCACTATTTTTGGCGTAACCGTCAGATGGAACCAAAAACAATTGCAGTGGAATCTCCTCATGGGTGGGGTGGCTTGAAGACATTACAAAGTAAGATTGCCTTTCAATGGTTGTATTACCACCTTCCGTGGTGGAACAACAGGTAGACATAGGATAAGCAATTAGGAGGCAATCGCATGAAGCATGCTCGCAATGGCGGTGAACAGCTCATCAAAGTAAAACGAGGAAAAGTCAAAGTGGATGGATACGACGCAAGCACAAAAACAGTCTACGAATTTATTTAATATAACTGGTTGCTGGCACAACTACAATCGCCCGGTAAAGAATTTAAATTAGTTATCACGTTGATTCACGAAGAACATGATGTCATTGACAGAAAACAATAACTTGCCTGAACATGCCTGGATGACGTCATTACAAAAACCCCGAGGGAGTTATTGCATCCTCGGAGACCCAGGGGCAGTCAGTCTTGCCGAGTTAAAAGGCGCGACAAACTTTTTTAAGCATGGGCGGAAGACCCCCTGGGTACCGACTCTCACCGGACCATTTCCAAACGGTCAAGAGAATGCTGGTTCCTGATTGGGCACAAAAAATGCTTTGTATTATTGTGCCCAATCGGCGTACAGCATCTCCTGAGTTCTTTTCGTGAGTTCGTACACGAAGGCTATTATCTTGTTACAATTGCCTGGTTCGTTCACCAAGCTTTCCTAACCAGAAACGAAGGAACTACCGATGAGTCGAAAAACGTTTCGGTTGCTTTCAGCAGGAGCAATTTAATTTGCACTGAGAAAATTCAGTTTCTGACGGATCACAAGGTATCGTAAATATTAGGAAGTTTAAGATGAAGCGGCGACGAGAAAGTAAAAAAAGCAATAGCTTGACAAGGCAAAAAGACAAATTTGCACGTGCATCACGCTTTTTGTATATTTCTTTGCGGTCACTGCACGACTACCACGTGAAAATGCCTAATTTCACGTTTTGTGAAGGACGTAAACAAGCAATGACAAAATTTAGTTTCTCTTTACGAACTTGGATATGGTTGATAGAAATTCAGCTCCAGAAGAGGTCGCTTGCATTTGACAAAGTAAGTGAGTTGGAATAATCACGATAAAGACTGAAAAAATGTGAGTTCACTCTTCATGCGACGTTTTCGTGGTTGTCAGCTGTCGTGGCATATTAAACTCCCTAATATTTACGAATGCGTGATTGATGCAAGCGTGAATACCTGTTGTAAGCTCAAGCTTGTATTTTTGGAAAAGCGTCTTTAGTTTTCGTGTAGATAGTGGTTGTCTTTACACTAGGCTGTTAAGTAAGACTTAAGAGGAGCTAAGTTTTACTCAACCAAAACTGTGTGTGTGAAGGCCGAAGCAAAATCTCAAGTAACTTTACTTTGCATCTCATTAAAACCGACTTAACGAGCTTGCGGTTTCCAAGCTTTGAGAAAGGCGAAGCATGTCAATCAATCTTAATTACGTTGCGTGGGAAAATCTGAAGAAAAAAGATAGACACTGGATAGTTTGTGTGTGAAGCTTTCTTTTACTTGAAGAATTTAAAAATTACTTGTCTTGAAATATTTCTTAGGTTATTTAGGCTCTAGTGTAAAGACCACCAGTATTTTGAAATGTAGCGTGTATATCAAACCGAAAGATTCCTGACTGCATGCATTTCTTTGGTGCATGAAACAGACAAGCCGTGATCGAGTCAATAGCCATCGTGTACGAACTCACGAAAAGAACTCAGGAGATGCTGTTCGCCGATTGGGCACAATAATGCAAAGCATTTTTTGTGCCCAATCAGGAGCCAGCATTCGCTTTACCGTCCCACCCGTGGAAAACACTTCCACAGCAGCCATTTCTTTCAACATAAGAAGAGATGTGGTACGACAGAACATCGAGTGCAGTGCCTATTCTGTCCATTAACTTTTGCGTACTAACAGGATATGGAATGGAACGTACGACAGCAACATTCGAACAACCCGTTTCGTTTTCCATGTAAAATTTGAGGAACTGAATTAATAAGTGCTAAGAACTTGAGATTTCATGTAGAGACAGTCCATGGACTTCAAAAACCTTTCTTTGGCTGCTGGTACCGAAACGCCACGTTTACAAGGAAAGCGGACAGACAACGACACATGCGACGTGTTCATGGACGTATCTGTAGAGAGCAAAAAGTCAATTTACATCTCCATTTGCAA